TAAAAAGGTGAATGGTTCTTTGAATCCCATCTTTCTCAGAACTAGTTGTAGGAACACTGGAAATAATAGAAATGAAAGAGACCGAATTTACAGTTGCCAAAGCAACAGAATACCTAAGACAGACCTCGATAAAACAAACACTCTCACAAGCAAACATATTCAGCGAAAACAAAAGAGATGAAAATTGGGCCTGGTCAAAGATAAAGTGGGCGCCAAACAAGAAAAAAGATATTTTCTGGCACCTGATTCACAATGCCCTTCCGATCGGCAAAAGACTTGTACACTTCTCCCCGACAATTGACAGCACTATTTTTTTACGCCTATTAAGTATTTTATTTTCAATTCGCATTCTTTCTACTTCTGCCCATAAATTGGGATTTGTTAATAATTTGATCCAAGTTGAAGCTAGCCTTGCATCGATCATGTCTGCCAGTACTGGTGCTTTGAGCCCGTTTAACTTCTGCAATTGTTGTAAGATGGCATAATGTGGTAAGGTGTTTACGTTATTCTTTATCCAGTTTGTTAACACCTCGTTAATTCTATTGAGTTGTTTTCTTGAGGGGGTAAAATGCTTGCCACATACCATATTTTGGCTAGCAGAATTGATTTCGTCACAAGAATTCTACCTTTAAAAGAAAGGAACCTGTTGCTCATAGCAGCTACTGCACCTTTGATTTTTTGGGTCATATTCTTCCATAGATCCTTTTTTGGGAGTCCTTTTGTGTTTATGTGGAAGCTGAGTATTTTAATTGAGTCCTTTTCTTCTAACTTGTAAAAGTTTTCTTCTCACATTAACCTTATGTTTGCTGCATTCCTTGAGAGGGGCACAAGTTTTGACTTCATTTTGTTTATCGATGCATTTGATGTTAGCTCGTATTTACTTAATAGGGTCATTAAGGCATCCTAATCATTTTGAGAACTGAAGCCAACTGTTAGGTTGTCAACGTAGGCTGCTGCTTTGAAATTTGAGCTTTCCATCCTTATACCTGTGATGTCATATTTTATTGCTCTTAGTAGAGGCTCGAAAGCCAGGATATATAAAAGAGGCGAAAGTGGATTACCTTGTCTCACACCTTTTTCAATACGGAATGAGGTGGACAGGTGACATGTGTCATAGATGTGTGCAACTTGGTTGGAGAATAGTTTGTTGATTAAAAAGGTGAATGGTTCTTTGAATCCCATCTTTCTCAGAACTAGTTGTAGGAACTCGTGATTTATACGATCAAATGCTTTTTTCTGGTCTAAAAAAAAAAGCTATACTTGTTTTTCTGTGTCTAAGTAGTACCTCATAGTCGTGACTATGTCTAGAGCTGCATCGATTATTGATCTACCAGTGATGAACCCTTGTTGATGTGTTCTAATGATTTCTGCACAGATTGTATTTAGCCTTGTTGCTAGGATCTTCATAAAGATCTTAGCGTTGCTGTTTACTAACAAAATTAGTCTCCAGTTATCTATCTCTGTGAGGGAATCTGTCCTCTTTGGGATTAGTATTATCATACTTTTGTACCACAAGTTTGGAACAAATCCTGTAGTAAGAACCTTATTGAATAGCTTTTCTAGGATTTTTGAAATTTCGTTTGAGAAGGTTTTGTAAAATTCATATGTTAAGCCATCTTGACCTGGAGATTTATTGTTTGGCAGCTTTTTTATGACATTTTCTATTTCTTCTGAGGTAATTTTCTTTAACAAGAGTCTATTCTGAGCTTGTGAAGTTTTCAGTAAGTTTTCTATCAACGTTTTTGCTAAACTTATGTCGACTGGGTCTTTTTGGAAGAGGAATTCATAATAATTCCTAATGTAGTTTAGCACCTTGAGGGAGTCTTCATTGCTAGGCGAAAGTGGGTCTCTTATCTTTTCGGTTGCACTGCCTGTCTGCTTAGCCTTGTAGTTGTTAAAGAAATATTTTGTTGATTTTTTCACCTAGTTCTATCCATTTGGCTTTAGATCTGATGTGCTAGTTGAATGCCTGGGTTGAAAGTTCGTTTTGCAGTTCTGAGTTAAGATGATCTATGAAGATGTTGAGATCAGTTAAGTTGGGATTTTTAGTAGTTTGTTATTTAACTCTGTTATCTTTTTGTGTATTTTCTTGATACGTATTTCTGATTTTGTAGGTGGTTTAAAGGCGCGTATTATCGATTGTATTCAGATTTTATGATGATCCAACTTCACGACATTGTCTATGCTTTTTAACTCCTCTTCAATTTCTCTCCTTATTTTGAGATTATCAATGCTCATTGTATTTACTTTCCATATAGCTGGTTTCGCTCTACTGGTGTTGTATACTAATTCGCATGAAACTACCTGATAGTCTGAGTTCCTGTGGTGCGTTTCCGCTTTTTTGTAAAAAAGAGCATGTTTGTTATCGATAAAGATGTAATCTAATCTTGTCGCCATTATCTGGTTGTTCCTTACTCTTTGATGGTAGGTAATAAACTGTTGGTGACAGTCAGCTGTATCAGTGAATCCTATCATAATTTGTTTTAATTTTTCTCTTGAAGGATCGTTGTGTGGCGGGGACTGACTTATTCTGTTGTTTACCGGGTCTAAATTTACGTTGAAGTCTCCTGCTACTATGTTGATTGCGTTATTTTTTAAGACAGAAGACCACTGGTTGAAGAAGGTTAGTCAGTCGCCCAAGTTTGGCGATGCATATACATTGGTTATTCGAAAAGATGTTTGATTAAATGTGAAATCTGCAGTGATTATTCTTCTATTTAACGACTCTTGGATATTTTCAAACATAATTTTTTTGTTTCCAGCTAAAATTGCTGCTTTTGACGTCCAATGTGAATCATAGTACCATAGTTGCTTAAGGAAATTCTGAAGCTTTTGTTCACTTGAATTGGTTTCTTCGATAACTATTACATCAAATTTGTAGTTTTTTAATAGGGTAAATGTTTCTTGACACTTGTTTTTATTGTTGAGACCTTTTATGTTTAAGGTCGCTATTTTTATAATAGATTTTTTTGGTCATTAGATCAATTTAATGTTTTTTGTTATTGGCTTCTGATAAGAACTTGGTCTATTTGAATCCTCCAAAGAAGTCTTGATTTTCTTCTTTTTCTTGCGTATTACTGGGGTGAATCCCTCTAAGCTGTCATGTATGTCTGCATCAATCGACATCGAGTTGTTTTGGAGTTCTTCCTCCAACATTGATGTAAGTGTTTTTTTTTTATCAACAGGTTCTTCCAATAGGTCCAGTTCTGCCAGGGAATCTGACGCTGTTGCCATATTCACTGGAGTGGGTTGTTTCTTGTCTAGTAGTTCTGTGGTTGAATTGTGCGCAGTTGTTATCCTGTTCGTGCTGGCCTCTGCCAAGTTTGGTGGTGGAGATGAGACAATTTTACCATCAGTTGTATCCTTTTCTGCATTTGATCTTTTCTCATTATTAGCCTTTGTTGAAAGTAAGCTAATTGAGGTTGGCAGTGTCTTCTTATTTTCTCTTAAAGATTCTTTGTATTCTTTGTAGTGCTGATTAAGCTTAATTGCTTCTTTTCGCTGATTGCAATTTTTTTTTAGATGTACAGGCTTGTCGCAAAAGAAACACAATTTTGGTGCCTCCTTCCATTCTGTTGTTACCTTCTGATCTGAGATGCAGACAAATCTGGAAATTCTTTCTGGAAGTTTTGTGTTATTTGTTATTTTAAATGTTACTAGTCATTGGTCTGTTAAGATTGGGGTACCCTCATATAGTAGCGGCTTAATTGAGATGATGTGCTCTACGTACTCGAACGTTTCTCTTATTTCCTTAGAAATAACTTCTTTTTTTGCTATAGGCACATTTCGCAACTTTATTGTGAAGTAAGAATTCCTCGATCATGTAGAAATATAACCAATAAGAGTTTGGTTGAATATTTCGATACCATTTTCCGCGTATTTTTCCATTGTGTCTTCATCATAGAAGATTAGTTCTAGGTGTGTACGAGTGCCTTTCACAAAGTGTGGTTTCACATCTATCAAGTCTGGTCCTAATTTACTATACAGAGTGGAGATGATATCATTGATTGAGATGTCTTTAAGATTGTGGATCTCAAAAATTAGAGCATTAGTGTTCTTTGTGCTTATGATTTTGCGAGGTGAGAAAGTAGAAAATGTAGCCTGTCCTTTTTTCAGTCTTGTGAAGAGACTGGACCATTGTTTGGGCTGTTGGGTTGAGGTAGCTTCATTTTTTCCAGTTAGACCAGGTTGGGTGGCTTCATTATTGTGATTGTGAACCTGGTGATCGGGTGATTGATTATCTCCCTTATCTACTGGGTTTTCCATAAGATCTTCTGTGTGGATATTTGTGGAATTTTCTGAAGTGTTATTATTAGTGGTATCAGTTGTTTCTTCAAGGGAAGACGAAATTTCTGTGGCCTGTTCGTGTTCCATCACGTCAGCCCAGCTCTTGTTGAGTTCCTCATTTTGTTCAGTTTGTGGTGCTTTGCCTTTTGTGCTTAGCGCCATTGTGTTTGTTGGTGTACTAACTTTCCCTATCTTTTTCTTTTTGGCTTCTAGTTCACGTGTATTGTACGCGTTAAAGCCTTTCCCTGGTTTGCGTTTTTGCGGAACAAGGGCTAAAGCCCTTGTCTTGTGTGCTTTGAGCTCTAGGTTGCTGTTTGACGTGAAAATTTCCTTTTACTGCGCAACCCCGTACCTATACTGGACAGAGCGACTGTCGATCTTTTCTTTGTCCACTTTAGCTAATTATTTTTTAATAATTGAACTAATAAAATTGTTATATAGAATGTTTATAGAAAGAAATTATTTTTTAATGTTTTTATAAAATATATTTTAAGTAAAATACTATGAAATTCTATAAATTACAAATAGAGTTGTAACATTGTAAATTACATACTTATTTTACATGTAAGTTATATTTTAATTATATTCAAAAATTTGCAATATATAGTAAATTATTATATATACTAAAATATATATAATAAATTAACCAATCAGATACTTATATAATGCTTAGTATATATGTAATGCAATAAAAACTTGTTCTTTTAGAACTATGCAAATTGTAAAACTTCTAAGCTTTACAAAATAAATAAAAAAAACTTTTATTTAAATTAGATTATTGGAAAGTTAACAAATTTAACCTTTATTTATAAAATCTATTTAACTCTAGAGAATTATTTTTCTAGCAAAAATTATAATTATATTATACAGTATTATGATATTATTTAACTTACATACTTACATGTAAGTTATATGCTTATTACTTACTTTACATAAAAATTAAAATTTGCTGTAAATTTACAACTCTAATTACTACTAATATATTACCTGTCCGACTGTATCTTTTAAGGCTGATCTAAATCGTGATAAATAAACATGTAATTTGAAAAAATATCTTAATTACTGCAATAGTGAGATCGTATAAATATTACGATCTTTACAAGTAAAGTTAAATATACCGGGTGTTTCAAAAGCTCAAAAATACGGTCCCTAATTTTAAGTGACCTTATATATAGAGATCATTTTGCAAATATAAATTTGCATAAATAATTATCGTGATCTCTATGTATAAGGTCACTTAAAAAAAGGGACCGTGTTTTGGAACTTTTGAAACACCCGGTATATAAAGAACTATTTGGATAATCATTTTTGAATCCAGCCAAAATGCCATTACGTCATATATAAATTGGTCCGGGTTCAAAAATAATTTCCCATTTGTTTATTTCTCTTTCTATCATTTTGTGTATCGAAGGAGTATTAATTAAGTTATAGCATTTATGTGATATTTTATTTTTAAGAATTACAGTAAATGCCTTTATTTTTTTATATAATTGTTTTAATTAATTCAATATCGAAATCAACATTTGAATTTCTAAAATTTTTAATTCATACGGGGTATAGTACCATAAAATTTCAAAATGTGAGATTAATGCATTGCATATAAAATTTGCACGAACATATTTATTAGAACGTTGAAGGCAGTTTTGGGCAAAATCGTAAGTTCTATGTTGAATTTTTTTTGTAGTTATAAAAGACGCTGAGGTTACATCTACTTTCATAATTCCTGGAACACCTGATAAAAATTGATCGAATAATTTTTCTGCCGATTCTATTAAGTCTATAATTTTGGCATAATGATATTAGATTCAATGATTTAAGATACAATACGTACGTTTATGTCTCTGATTGAATACAGAAATACGATACTTTCAAGGCATCTACGTTGACAAGTACAGTAGCTGAATGCTGAAATACTTTGAAAGGTCTATCCATTCAAAAAATTGTTAACACTTGGTTGTTAATAGTTCGGGTTCTCTAGCACTTTTATAGTTATATTGAACTTCATCACAGGTATACAGGTCATGCCGATTTTGACCCGAGTTAAACAGGTCACCCGATAGACTCGGGTGACCCGTCGATCACCTGGGTGACCCGCGGGTCCAACCGTCGGGGCAATTGAAATGTGTACCAGGTTGGTGGCGCAGACAAATTTTTAAAATTCGTTAAGGTTAGGGTTAGGGTCAGTGTTAAGAACTAGAGGGAAGTTTTAATAGTAAAATTGTCCAACGAAAACTTTTTGTTTGAGCACAAAAGGTGGTTTCTTATGCTGAAGCTTGAATGAACATCTCCTTAATTGTGTTACGTTACACCTAATCTTGTAAGCTGATTCGTAGATCAGAAGAACTACGTAACCTTTTTCCGACTGCCCCGTCGGGTGACCCGGGTCATGTTTTTTAAACGGGTCCAATCACTAAAGCGGGCAAGTGATTGGCTGACACGTGCCGCGAAGCGGCATATGTTCATTTGCCCGGTTGAACCAAATTACCGTTATTCGAAAATTTTTGCCGAATAATGTATACCATATAGACCGCTATACATTAAGTATAATATAGCATACTTTACATACTGTATTTACTGTTTTATATATACATATATACTATAAATTCGTCAAAATAAAATTTATTATAGTTATACGATTTTACTAAATGTATAATTTTTTTTAACAATTTTTATGTACATGTATAATGTATAAAATTATGAATATACGATGCTGTATACTACACGTCTTTTCGAATTTATAATATACACATAATGTCTTATAGTCCGAAAATATTTGTTACTTTTTGCTTTTAAAATTATAACCTTAAGCTTAAATTCCATATAGTACATAAAAATTGCCTTTGTTACAAAATTTGAAATTCTACTAAAAATAAAACAAAACAAATGATAGTTAAACAATATAGCTAATTTCTAAAACCGATAATATAAGTATTTCAAATTTCAATATTAAGGTAATTGATTTTTGTTTTCTATCTATGAAGGTCCGACTTGGTAAGTATCACGTGTACACGAAGAAATTTAAGAACTTTCAAAATTTTAATTGAGCTTTTTTTTTGACCAGCTAATTAAAGGTGAATCCCGAAAAGATTGCAACTGAAAATTTGAGAGTTTCCTGAGTTTGTGTTACTTGCAACCTGGTAAATTGATCGCCATTTACCAACATTTTATATAATTCATCAGCATTATGATTATCCAAAAGTGGGTTAATGTGAACAGCATTATTTTGAGGCAAGTTATTGTGAATAGTATTGTTCTGCGGCCCTCTAGTGGCTTGATTTTGATTTGGTGGCTGATTGTTCATATCGTAAATACTGTATATTATTAATATAGTTTTTATTACTGGTACAATTTCGGCCAATTTATTTAGACTTTATAACTATGGTAGTAGGCACGATAATTTTCAAAGACGTCAAAGTTTTTTAACTTTAGCAATCTCTTTATCAACCATGCGCTCCGAAAGCGTAAATTGAGATGGAGGATTATGGCATGCTTTTATAATTATGCTAGCGTCCGAATGACGTTTACATGTGTAAATATTCAGCTATTTTTTCAGATAATAAGCCCGTATTATCCCATAAATATTGTAAATTATTCGGCTTAAGGAGATATAATGGAAATAATCAAATAAAAATTTCTAGTGATTATTTAAGAGACATTCATAATGTCACCTCTGTGTGGCTTAGATTCATTATACTTATTAAGTAGCTGCTTATAAATTGCATTATTTCCGAAGTTCTTTAAAAAGTACAAAGAAGCCACCCTCAATGCATCATTTTACATGCATTATCTACTGTTAAACTCCGGCACAAAAATGGGGTTGGAAAGTTTAACTGCTAAACTACGTGACCAAAACCCAAACACACTATATTTTATTAAAACCCCGTATTATAATCATAACATAATAGCATACTGTCACGTCTGTGTATCCGTGCCTGAAAGCAAAATAAACAAATAAATCAGTGTCCAAACTGGTCTCTAGTGAATATTGCAGTACTCTCTGTCCCAAAAATGGAAATCCATTTATTTAATTTGTTAACTGAAAGATTAAATCATACTTCAGCGATCGACAAATAGAACTTTCCACAAGACCAGTTTACGAATCATAATCTGAATCACATGAACAAATTGACCAATCAGATTCGGGTTATTCTGGACAGACATAAAATTTTAATAGTATAGATAGAATATACTATTTACTATTAGATTACTACTTATATTACGACTTTATTGACATATATAATACCACTACTTCTACTACGATCTATAACATATCTCTCTACGCGAATAATTAGCAGCAGTTAATATTTATTAGTCGTGTTAATTAATATACTAAATTAGACAATACAGGTTTGGCGTACGTACCAAATCCATATATCTGATCAAATTCGTATAAGTAGATGATCAATTAGTCAATCAAATTCGCACAAGCAGCCAATCAAATTCATACGATAGACAAATTTATACAATTAAATTCGTACAAACAATCAAATTCGTATAACTTTGTAATCAAAATTCGTATAACTTAATAATACGTAATACGTGGCATATCTCTAGATAGCTATATCATAAAAAAACCTAAAAACCTATATTATAACAATTTAGATGTTCAATCCGTCTCGAACCACTTGATTTATTTATAACACTACACTGCCGTTCAACAACGGGTCGAGACATCTAGTTTTAAATATATTTGTACTTTATCATATACTAATGGTATTAAATTACAGGGAGAATTGTTCATGATATTTTAAGAAATTCTAAAATAATGCATTAAATTATATAATAAGTATAATTTTGGTATAATAGTGATAACCAATCAAGGATTGGAAAAAGACTGGTCCTTATTCAACTGATCCATCCCTAGATTTAATTACGATCGCATATGATTATTAGAAATGAATTACAATGAATATTAACGAGTTATAATAACAAGCATTGAGATTTTATAAGGGTTTATGGTAGCGAAAAAAGAAAAATGTTTTTAATTAAAGGTTTTTTTTAATATTTTAAGATGATTATTGTCTTGTGATTAGAGTAGAACAAAAAATTTTCCAGTCTGTTTCAGCTAATAATATATCAAGATTATGTAAACAATCGTTTTATAACATTACTTATTTGATAACCTCACATACAATACGTATTCGCAATGCAAAAATTTGCAG